AATAGAACAAAGGAACACTGCATAGCTTATAATAAAGGAAGGTATGCATATCCCTTCTCCATACAATTAAATCGGTGTACTGAACAAATACTTTGAGAAGCTGGACTACAGGAAGAAGAATGTGGCATCAGGATTTTAAGAAGACTCATCAACAATCTGTGATATGCAGATAATACGTTGCTTGTAAAAAGTGAAGAAGACTTGAAGCACCCACAAAAGAAGCTCTAAGACTACAGTGTTCAATATGAGTTATGTCTCAATATCAAGGAGCTAAAAATTTTCACCCTGGACCAACAGACAACATTGCAATAGATGATGGAGAAAAGACTGAAGTTATCAATTATTTCGTTTTACTGGAATATACAACCAAAAACAGTCAAGCAATAAAAAAAAATATGTTGCACTGGGAAAATCTGCTGTCAAGGATCTCTCCAAAGGGTTGAAGAGCAACGATGTCAATTTAAAAACTCAGGTGCCCCTGATCCAAGTAATGAACTTTCCAATTGTTTCCTATGCATCTAAAAGTTGCACAATGAATAAGAAAGACCAAAGATCTGATGTCTTTGAATTATGGTCTTGTCAAAGACTGTTGAATACCGAATGAATTACCAAAAGAACAAACAACTCTGTTTTGAAAGAAGTGCAGCCAGAGTGCTCCTCAGAGTGAAGAATGGTGAAACTTCATCTTACTTACTTTGCATATATTTTCAAGAGGAATCAATCTTTGGAGAGAGATACCATGCTAGGAAATATAGAGGGTAAGCTAAAGAGAGGAAGACCCTCAGTGACCCTCAATAGTCACTGACACCGTGACTAGGACAATGGTCTTGAACACAACAGAACATGAGGCTGGTTCAGGACAGGGAAAAATGTCCATATATGTGTTCATGAGTTACTGAGTTAGAGTAGACTTGAGGGCACCCAACAACAACAGAAAGAAAATACAACAGAGATATCTCTACATGGATTTATAACCAATTAGAAAATGCAATGCACCCCTAGACAAAGGAGTTTAGGAATGGTTAATGTATGGCATTCTCTATTCAAGAGAAGGAAATTAATTTAAGGATGCAGATAATTTGGTAACGATTTAGCAGTTAGGGTCACTTCCAGTCTGTAGAAGTACTAATCCTTACCAAGAGTTGTTATTTGGTAAGAAAGGAAACAAGAAAAGTAGCAGTTTGAAGGGAAATATATTACATTCAGCCTAGAACACCTTAAGTTTGAAAGCTCTAAGTCAAGTGAAGGTGTTCAACTATTCTTCAAGGAATGCTGAGTTTATAGATTGCTCTAATTTCACCAGACAAGTACTAGCTGAGGTCACGAAGAAAATCAAGTCACCAAAGGAGAGCATGACTAGCAGAGACAACGACAATGGAGTACAGATGAATTCTGCTGAAGAGAGAATTGAGAGGCAAAATAAAAAGATGTTCTGCTAGAAAAGTAACCCAAAAAATGCATCCAACAAAGCGCACTGTTCTCACTATTACTCTTAGATGTCTCCTTCCAACTAAAGTTGTATCTATGAAAGCTTTCATTTGTAAAGGATCACGTCTGTGCTGACTAGCCCTTAAAGTCTTGCACTGCAATGATTATATATAAACCCAGAATTGATGCAAGGAAGGAAAAGTGAATCGGGAAATGGGATCACAGACATTCTCAAAATAACTTCCAGGCAGAAGAGTAGACTTCCATGATGTCACTGAAGGTACTAGGAATGGTAGGTCACCTTATAAAGTGGTCATTTGATACTATCTCAAGATTTGTCTGACACTGTTATTATGAGAATAAAAATATATTGTTGTTGCTAAGTGCCATCAAGTAAAATATTAATCAGAATTTATTGCAGAAAAGATATAGGAAGTGAGTGATCTCTTTAGAAGCAACTGCAATAACCAAACTGGATCATAAATCTTACAAAAAGGAAATAGAAACAATGACTACTTCTTTGAGAGACAGTATAAAAGTGTATGGTAGGTATATTTTGTTTAGCTGAATCAGGATGTATGTATTAAACTATAATTTTTTACCTCTTTCCTACAAGCTATTTTGAAAACAAAATCTCACTATATCTCAACTCCTACTACATAGAAATGTCTGCTTCCAAAATTCTACTCTGGAGCTAGATCAATTACTTAGTACTTCCTTAACAACAAAAATACCAGTGGGTGGATTTAGAGACTAGAAACTTATTTTATTACAAATCAGAAGACTAGCTGTCTAGATTCTATCTCTAGAGGTATGTCCTGCCTTACTGTTGTAATCCCATAGGCTCCTTGGCATTTGTTCTCCCTTTGTGTATGCCTATGTGTTTATTCTACTCCTTTTATAACTTAGAAGTGATTAGCTATTAGATCCATCATACTCTGGTATAACCCCCATAACATAATAAAAACAAAAATCAAATAAAACACAAAATCTATCACTATACAGAATTGTAATAACAGGTACAAGGGTTAGGATTTTAGTACATATTCTAGGGAATGAAATTCAATCCATAATATTCTTTGACACTCTAACTTCATGCCCTTACCATATGCAAAATATATTCATATTAATCACATCATTCATAAATCTAACCACATCATCCACAAATATTTAAACATCAACTCTAACTAAAATATCATATTTGTCCCCTTAGTTAAGTATAGTGACACTCTGAGTGTGTTCCCTTCTGAGTAAAAATTCTTGGGAAATATAAAACAGTCAATTCTCTTCCTCCAAACTATAAAGGTAAACCAGATATAAAGTAGGCATGCCTATATGGAAGAAATTGGAGAACAAGAGTAATGATGAATACTAAGCCAGTGCAAAACCCAGCAGAGAAATCTCATTAACTCTCAAAGTCTCAAAGTAAACCTCTGATTTCCATGGACATATAGTCAATAGGCCTGCCCTGCAGACTCTGAGCATTCACCACACCAAAATCTGTGGGGAAGCTCCATGGCCCCAAGAAGTGAATTCATTTCCCATTGCCACAGAAATGGCAATCCTGCTTGCTTGGCTTTAGAAGGGAAATAAGTTCCTTTCTCAAACTATCCAACCTATTAGAATGGCAACCTTACTCTCAAATTTGTGCAGTGATCCCATTTTCTTGATCAACTAGAACAGCTGCTCCACTCTCTAGAACAGAAGTGGTGGAAGCCTTTGTTCTTTAAAACCTCTTTAAAACCTAAGTATACTCACTCTTTGAAACCTGGCAGGGAGAAATAGGGTGTTTCTATATTACCAAGGAAGTAGTGGCATTGTCCATTAGCTCCTTTGTACAGTTATATTAGCCTCTTAACTATTCCTTGGATAGTCTTTTGCTTTTCGTGGCTGGCAAAAATATTTTCAAATATTTTCAAATATTTCAAAATATTGGCCATTTCCTGCTTGTAAATTTTCAGAATGTAAGCCTACTGAATTCCAGAAAACAGATAGCTTTTCTTCATTTTATCCTGGCTCTGTCCCTTTCAGTATAAATCAACGGTCTTTGTTGAGACGGTTGCTTTAATTCACCACCCATAGGCCCAATATCTTCAGCAAATGCTTAAACAGTCTTAGCCTTTTGAGGGAAAAGAGCTCTTATTTTCACAACAGAGTTCTCCAACTCTTTAAGCCATAATTTCATTTTATGCAGTTTATTTGTTAATCTCTTTCCTCTATATTTTATTAGAAGCAAAAAGGGAGAAGTCATGTCACCCATTTAAGATTTGCTCAGAAATCTTAGCCAAATATCCAAGTTCATAATTTATAAGTTCTAATTTTCACAAAATATTTGAGCATAATTCAGATAAGTTTTATGGTACTGTATAATAAGAATAAACTTCCCCTCCTTCAATGTCCAATAATACTTTTTAAAGCCCTATCAAAAGCACATTCAACCTCCATATTTCTAGCTACACTCTGCTCATAACAGTAGAGGCCTTCTCTGCTTAAACCTTTATTTCTGAGCCCTCATTCTCATTGCCCTTTAATACTCACAATTCTACAAATAATTTCTCCAAGGCAAGCCAGGTTCTTACTATTCAAGCACATTAAAATTCCTCTAATGTCTATCCTTTACTCAACTCTAAAAGAATTCTTATATTTTCTATATCTATTTAAGTAATAATCTTACTCTCTAATATAAAATTCTATCTTAGTTTCCTGGTACTGCTGTCGCAAGAGGGGGAAAAAGCAAAATTTTCTCCTCACAAGTGGATAGCTTCTTTGTTTAGGAACATTTATTTTCTCAGAGTTCAGGAAAAGATGTCTAAATTCAGAGTGTGATTATAAGGTGAGGTTTTTCCTTTTCAGTAGGTTTCCTGGAATCTGCTGTCTCTAGTTTATACCTCTATTTCTATTCTGTTCTTGTAGTGAGAAGTGGTTCTCTGTAGGATGAATTCAACACTTTAAATCAAGTGAAAATAGATGCTATTCTGAAACACTATCATCTTTATTTCCAAAAGTTTAAATTTCTGTTGACCAAAGTAGGAAAAGAAGTAAACTGAAATGACTGACATGTTAACATTACAATCTTTCCCAAATGCTACTTTACAAGTTATCATTACACGTAGTCATTTACTATCGTAGATGAAAAGAGGAGGTTAAAGAATAAATTATTTTCAGGCAGTATTCCTAACGTGATAGACTTACATTTAATTTGATCCCAACAAGTATTTATGAACATGACAAAATAACTTTATAAATTAAACATTGGCTTTTATATTTATAGAAGAGAATATAAATTTAATAAGGATCTTAAAAAGATTCAGTCCGTATATGTTCCAATTGTTGGTTTTGTAAGTTATTTTGTTTTGGATTTACCTCTGGCTCAATTCATAAAGGGAACTCTGGAAGTGTAGTCTGTAGAGAGTTGTGCTGCTAATGCAATGGCTGGGCCTCTCTGGGAGTTCAAATCCACCAGTGTTTCTACAGGAGGGAAGATGAGCAATCCCTTCCCATGCAATTTACAGCCTCAGAACCCCAATGGAGGTTCAGCTGTGGGTTAGTTCCACGTAACAGCAACAAGAGTTTTAAGTCAGAAAAAATGAATGTTTTCTAGCCATCAATTTTCTCATGGCCTCTTTCACTTCCTTGTTCCTCAGACTATAGATCAGAGGGTTCAACATGGGTATCACTACTGTATAGATCACAGATGCCACTTTGACCTGATTAGCTGAATAGCTTGACTTTGGCATCACATAAACAAACATGACTGTCCCATAAAACAAAGTGACTGCGGTGAGGTGGGACGTGCAGGTGGAGAAGGCTTTGTTTCTCCCCTCAGTAGAGCGCATATTGAGGATTGAGTGGAGAATGTAGATGTAAGACACAATTATCGTAAACAATGTACTTATAAGAACTGACCCAGAAGTGATAGCAGGAGATATCTCAGCAATGAAAACATGGCCACAAGAGAGCTTCAAGAGTGGGAAGAGGTCACAAAAGAAATGGTTGATCTTATTAGGTCCACAGAAGGACAAGTTTACCAAACAGCCAGTAAACGAAGAAGCGTTCAAACATCCACCCAGATAGGAAGCTCCCAAAAGGAAGAAGCAGATCACTGGAGACATTTGTGTGGAATACAGCAGAGGAGAACAGATGGCTACATAGCGATCATATGCCATGGCAGCCAGCAAGAAGCATTCTGTAGTACCAAAGGTGACATCCGAGGCTAGCTGGACTATACAGCCAATGACAGGAATAGTAGTTCTTTCTTGTAAGAAACTCATGATCATGATTGATGTGACTGATGTGGAGTATCCAATATCCACAAAGGCCAAGTGACTTAGAAACAGGTACATTGGGGTGTGAAGCTGAGGACTACTTCGGATTAATATGATTATGGTGATATTGCCCATTATAGTAACTAGATAGACTGCTAAAAATATCACAAAGAAGATGGCGCATAGTGTAGGATTGTCTGTTAAGCCCAAAATAATGAATTCTGTCACTGTTGTGTGGTTTTCAGCCGCCATCTATCCATTTACCGTGTAGTCTGTAGGGACTTCACTGCAGCTTCATGGAAGAAAGAAGGACAATCTGCTCCTGTGCCATTTACAGCCCCTAAAAAACCTGCTAGTGAGAAAGATTCCACTCAATGGCAATGATTCTGAGTTTTTTTATTGAAACCAGAAGACCCTCAATGAGACAAACTGACTCCATGACTCCCTCAACAGGCTCAAGCACAACAGAGATTATGGTGATGAAGTAGGCAGTATTTCATTTTATGCACACAGGGTTGCTATGAATCTAAGCTGACTTAACTGTGCCTATCAACTTTGAAACCAGAACCATAGGATATTAAATGACCCTACAACTAATTGCTATACTTAAAAATAGCCTTATCAGTAACATTTTAAATGGTAACTTTATTTCACTTATGTCAAATACTTTGTGTAAACAAATCTTCCCAAATTTAAGTTTAATTGAAGACTCAATTAAGTTTTAGTAACTAGCTAGTCTGGTCTTATTTGTACTCTAAAAGAGAAGCACAAATTCTGTAACAGCAATCTGTCTTTCCAGACGCACAGAAGATGTGTAAAAAGGATGTTCACAGCAGTACTGTAGACAATTTAAAAGGTTTTAGAAAGGTCACAACTTGATTGTCCATTTCCATTCCAAATACATTTCCTTATCAGTATATTCTAATTATATGCTATCTCCATTTAATCATTTTATTTGACCAATAACCAAGCAGTTAACTTTGGTCTCTCTTTCTTACTTACTTGCTACTTTTCCTGGAACAAAATAAATAAAATATTCTTAGTTACAACAATTGATATGAAAAGTTAGAAGATGTCTACATTCAAATGAATAAGTTTTTTATCATTGTCTTTAGCTGCACATTGTGGATATTTTGTAAAACCCAGCATCATTCATCTCCTATGCCATGCCTTTTCATAGAGGATTTAGTGAAGCAATAATTAGAGTCTAAGTATTTTTATGAACTAGGACTAAATTGAAAGAACTAGTTAAACTAAAATGGATCTACTCCCCATAGCTCTGTTTTAGTGTAACTAGTTCTGATAAGCTAGTGAAAGGATACAAAAAAGAAGACACTTAATGGGGACTTGGGGAAGTAGTGACAGAAATAGTTATCCTAACAAAACTAGAAAACAAGATTGAAAGACAGATTGGTTATTACAGAATAATGCTTCCTGTGTTCAAAATTGAACATGCACTCAAGGACAGGAAAACAGGTATAAAATTTATTCCCATGATTCTTATAATTTAAAGATCAATCTACTTTTCAGAGTAAAAATCTGTGTGAAGAAGACTAAGAAAACACACATATGCAACAATCAGTAATCATGCCCTTAGCCAAGCATACTACCATATCTTATTCCTTAAAATTATAAATCAGTCGATGTGACATATCACAATGCTATGCCGTGTTATGAACAGTACTAGGATTATATATTTGAATTCTTAAGTTCTGTCTCTTTTAAGGAGGCAAGGTAAAGTGGCAAAAAGACTTTATCAAGTAAGTACAGACTTGAATAATTATATTTTAAATAAAACTGTTATCTAACAAATACAAATAAATCCAATATTGGATATGAATATTAACATGGAAGGTAATGTGCAGAAATGCCTTGAAGTGTTAAGTCATTAAAGACCTAGGATCAGTTTCCATCTGTAAGTCTTGCTATCCATGAATCTTAGGCAAGCTACAAAAAATCTTTTGATCTTTTACTTCCTTACATATAGAACTAGGATAATAATACATACCTTGTGTTAAATTACATGATGTAAAGACACCAAGCACCATTTATACAACAAATAGGTACAAAATTATTAATATTTTACTTGAAGTAATCAACTTCTAAATGCCAGTGTGAATAGAATAATCAAATGTTTCTATATTATTAATAATGGACAATTGTGCCCTACAGATACATTATCTACAATAGGGGGATATGCCAAGGAATTGTTACCGTATAGTAAAGTCATATTTAAGTAAAGTTTAGGTCATTTGGGATATAATCCCCAATTACTTCACTTGTTTTGGAACATTACATTGACAAGTCATTGGGGCATAGAAATCGTAGATTACATAAGAGTGTATGAAAAGATATCCTCTAGATTCCCAGGGGTGCCATTTATTTTTAAGTAATAATTTCCAAAATATTGCAACATTTTGTTATCATTACAGTTTATTTTTATAACAGTACAATTAATGTGACAACAGTAATTTTCAATACTTTAAATGATTACTATATTACATGACCTATGTTTTTGTGTTAAAGATATTAAGAGATAATTTGAGCTGTTTCCAAATGTCCAACCACAACTGAATGGAGTGAGAAATTGTGGTATATTCACACAATGGAATACTATGTAGCACTCAGGAGCAAAAGATTTCTAAAAATATTATATAACTTGGGAGAGACTGAGATATGATGCTGAATGAAGTAACTCAGTCTCATAAGGACAAATACTGCATAAGACTATTATTGTAAAAATAGAAGGATGACTAGTAAAACACGTATGGGTACCCAAAGGGGTAAAGGGTGAGAGCAGAGGGGTGAAGATGGGTAGGGGGGAAACCACAGGGTTGCACAATTTGGTGGGTGGAAAGAGGGTGTGAAGGAAATGGAAAGAATCTGGCAGAGACCTGAAAAGACAGGGTAATAATGGGCAAAGTCCAATGGTAATCAATTTTATAAAACATAATGCATGGGAATGATTGCATGAAACACAATGTGAATGAAGACTAGTGTGAAACACAATGTATATGAACTTTGTAAGCAAACCAATACAAAATTTTTCTTTAGATTTATAACTCGCTCAGCATATCTTAAGCTCAAGGAACTAAAGAACAAATTCAAACCTCAAGTTGCTATAATCAAGGATGCTTTCGGCAGAATGTTAAATGACACCGGAAGTATTAAAAGAAGATGGAAGGAATATACTGAATCACTGTATCAAAAGGAATTGGAAAACACAGAAGAATTTCATGAAACAACATGTGAGCAAGAGCCTATGGTGATGAAAGAAAAAGTTCAGGCTGCTTTGAAGGACATGGTAAAAAATAAGGCTCCAGGAATAGATGGTATACCAATTGACATATTTCAGTTAACAGATGCTGCCCTGGACGTGCTCACCAAGTTGTGCCAAGAAATCTGGAGAACGACCACTTGGCCAACTGACTGGAAAAGATCGATATTTGTTCCTATCCCAAAGAAAGGTGACCCAACAGAATGTGGAAACTACAGAACAATCTCACTCATTTCACATGCAAGCAAGATTTTACTGAAGATTATCCAAAAACGACTGGAACAGCACATCAACAGAGAACTACCAGAAGTCCAGGCTGGTTTCAGAAGGGGTCGTGGTACTAGAGATATTGTAGCTGATGTTAGATGGATCTTGGCTGAAAGCAGGGAATACCAGAGGAATGTCTATCTGTGTTTCATTGACTATGCAAAGGCATTTGACTGTGTAGATCATAACAAACTATGACTGACTCTGAGAAGAATGGGAATCCCAGAACACTTGATCGTTCTAAGGTGAAACTTATACTTGGACCAGGAGGCAGTCGTCAGAATAGAGCAAGGGAACACTGCATGGTTCAAAATTGGGAAGGGCGTACGCCAGGGATGCATTCTATCTCCATACCTTTTCAACCTATATGCAGAACAGATTATCTGGGAGGCTGGGCTCTATGAGGAGAAATGTGGGGTCAAGATTGGTGAACGATTTATCAACAATCTGCGTTATGCGGATGACACAACCCTGCTTGCTGAAACTGAGGAGGACCTGAAGCGCCTGCTGCAGAGTGTCAAGGACTGCAGCCTACAATATGGATTGAGGCTCAACGTCAAGAAGACAAAGATTCTCACCACTGGACCAATTGGCAGCATCAGGATGGATGGTGAAGAGAATGAGATTGTACACAGCTTTAGTTTGCTTGGCTCCATAGTCAACAGTCTTGGCACCAGCAGCCAGGAAATTAAAAGGCGCATTGCCATGGGTAAGTTTGCTGTTAGAGACCTCTTGAAAGTGCTGAAGAGCAATGGTATCTCTTCGGAGACTAAGGTGCGTCTGATACAGGCCATGGTCTTCGCAATCACCTGTTACGCATCAGAGAGTTGGACAATGACCAAGGAGGATAGAAGGAGAATTGATGCCTTTGAGCTGTGGTGCTGGAGAAGAGTATTGAGAATACCATGGACTGCTAGGAAAACAGATTTGTCCTGGAAAGGGTTAAACCGGGTGGCTCCTTGGAGGCAAGGATTCTGAGGCTCCGTCTAACATACTTTGGACATGTTGTGAGGAGAGACCAGTCCTTAGAGAGGGACATCATGCTTGGGGGGGTGGAGGGACAGCGCAGGAGAGGAAGGCCCTCTATGAGGTGGATTGATTCAGTGACTGGGATAATTGGGATGGGAGTGTCAGAGACAGTGCGATTGGCACAGGACAGAGCGGAGTTTAGGGCTGTTGTACATAGGGCCGCTATGAGTCGCAGGCAACTCAATGGCACATAACAACAACGAACAATTTTGTTTGTTTTTTAACTTAATTTTATTAATTTTAGTGAACATTTACAGAGATTTTGGATTTCCATTCATTCATTGTTGCACTAACTATTTTCTCTACCCCCCTCCCAGTTCATTCCTCTCTTTTTCCCCCCCCTGAAAGTCTGTTTTATTTGTCCCATTGCCACAGTGCTTGTCAAAACCAGCTCTGATTAATCTCCTTTGTCAGTGTGTCCTTTGACCAATACAAAATTTAAAGAAGATAATTTGGGGCTTTCCAGTAAATTTTACTTTTCAAGAAAGCATACAGTAGAATTTCAAGATTACTTTCAATTTTTTTTTCCCTGTTAAGATTTTTTTTCTAAAAGTTTTACAGAGTAAACAGAACTCAAAACACATTTTTAAAAATCTTGGCTATTTGTCCTAGGGTGTGTATTACAAGCAGTAGTGACAGACATTTTTCACAAACACATTCTTTCACATTGCCCACTTTG